TTTTTTTTTTTTTTTTTTTTTTTTTTTTTACTTTTTATAATTAAAGTATATTTTTTAAATGTTATTGAAATATTAATTATTTCCCTCTAAAACTAACATATTTTTTTATCCTTTTTAAAAGTTAAAATATTATTTAAACTTTTGAAAGTTATATAATTTTGATAAAATATAAAATTCAAGAGTATTTTTATTACTTTAGCCTATATTTTAAGAAAGCGATGATATTAAACGTCGTGTTCAGGTTGGCAAGGAAACATGCAGAAACAAAATAACGGTATAGAGATCCCACCCATAATCGAAGGACAAATGAAACGTTAAAGCCAAAAAACTTAAAAAGAGTATTATGAAAGGGAAGGAATAAGAGGAATGGTTGTTTCCTCTATGCATTTCTATGTCGAAATCTTTTAATTGAGTTCCTCTTTTATACCGTTTGTTTGTTCAGGTCAAGTTTTAATGTAATATGGATGTCATGGTTTGGATAGAATTTCGAGTTCAATTAAGACCAATTATTCTAATGTTCGAGTTGTTTAGAAACTCTACATCATCTTCAAACTTTTAAATTTTTTAGTTCAATTTCTACCGTGCATGATGATAATAGTTACACAATAAGTCGCAAGTAATCATTAGATTTTTCTCTCTACAAAAACCAAGTTATGAACCTTGATCGAACTCGAACTAATATATAGCGACATTAACCTACTTATCCCCACCTATCGACCCTTGGCAGTGAACAACCTAAACTCACCACTAGCCGATATTGTCCGCTTTGACCCATAACGTATTTTTGTTAGTCTCACGATTTTAAAACATGTATGCTAAAGAGTAAAGAAAGTAAGATCTACCCGTCTTTCAAGATACCTAAAAAGGGAGGGTAAAATATTTCGTAAAACTTATCTGAGCGGGATTAAATATATGATGGGGTTACCCGATATTGTAATTATCGTTGATCAACAAGAAGAATATCGGAATCTTCAAGAATGTATCATGTTGGGAATTCCAACTATTTGTTTAATTGATACAAATTGTGACCCGGATCTCGTAGATATTTCGATTCGAGCGAATGATGATGCTATAGCTTCAATCCGATTAATTCTTAACAAATTAGTATTTGCAATTTCTAAGAGTCGTTCTAGCTCTATAAGAAATTCTTGATTAATAATAAGATAAATCAATTTTTGGGGGAACTCCATAGATTCAGGGAATTGGTTACTATTCCCTCACAAAAGAGATAAAAAAAACTAGGGATATTGTAAGGTAATAAATTGATATAAATAATAGACAACTCAAGACAAGTCGAAAAAAAGACAGTCTAATCAAAATAATTTCCTTTACAGTTCTATTTCTTTAAGAGGGCAATATGAATATTCTATTATGTTCTATCAACAGATTGAAATATCTCTAAAGATTAGTAAGAACTTGAACTTAAATGAATGGAGTCTTCGAAAAGATTAAGAAATTATAGTCCAATTCCAGAAAATCAATAAATTGATGATCAGTTCAAAAAGATCAACCGATCTAAGAACATCAACAAATCAAAATTAGTTGAAAAAAATTAACGAGTGTAAATTAAAAAATAAACATTTCGACCTTCGAATCTAAACCAACGTTTAAGAAAAAGAAATATTATAGTAATATTAATATTTTAAATAGCTTCTAAGATTTAACAAAATTTGTATTAATTTAATAATAATGAATTGGACTCCTTCCTTTCTCTCTCTTGTATTTTCTCTCTCCTTCTCCACCATTCTAGCCGTCCATCGTCGTTGCCATTACTATGATCGAAGGATAAGGAACGTTGAGATCTAGCGAGAGAATCGAAAAGTACAATAATTAAAATATGATTTAAAACTTAAATTTTATAATATAGTTTTTATTATATCAAATTAAAGAATTTGTAACAGCATTAAATCATATTAAAAAAAATTGTATTCGAGCAAATGAAGAAAGTGACAGGGTTGATGTGACATTCAATGAATGCCCACGCCAATCGAGTACAATTTAGCCCATTTTTCAATAGGATGATTGTGACTACTCAACCGACCACTAGCTGTCCACATCTTTTCGTTGGTCGAGAATAAAACGAAACATTTTTATACGGATATAAAAATATTTTCATAATATCTACATTTTGAAATTATAAAATTAATAATAATAGGAAAAAGACAAATATATATATATATACTAGCCGTGAATTGGGACGGTTGGGTTACACATACACTGTTGTCATTATTAATAATTCTCTCATTTTTTTTTTTGTAAGATTCTGCTCCTGTGCTTATGGTAGGCTTGCACTTGTTAACATTTAACATGTGTCCCTTTAAATATATTTATCAAGAGTGTTCCACGTGTTAGACGAACACGACTCCCCACAATGGTATGATATTGTCCACTTTGAGCATAAGCTCTCATGGCTTTGCTTTGGGCTTCCCAAAAGGCCTCAAAGTGGACAATATCATACCATTGTGGGGAGTCGTGTTCGTCTAACATGGTATCATAGCCATGCCCTAAACTTAACCGTGTCAATAGATTGGCAAATCCTTAAATGTCGAACAAAGAACTCTAAAAGGAGTCAAGCCTCCTCGAAGGTACGAAGGCAGTCAAAAATGACTAAGACTCCAAAGGAGTCGAGCCTCGATTAAGGGGAGGCGTGCTTTGTTCGAGGGGAGGTGTTGGATGATGAAAGTCCCACATCGGCTAATTTAGGGAATGATCATGGGTTTATAAGTGAGGAATACTCTCCATTGGTATGAGGCCTTTTGGGAAGCCCAAAGCAAAGCCATGAGAGCTTATGCTCAAAGTGGACAATATCATATCATTGTGGAGAGTCGTGTTCGTCTAACACCACGCTCTCATGTTAGATTTTTTATCTTATCCAAATTTTATGTCTTAGGTTAGAGTTTTTTTTATTTTTATTTATTTTTTCTAGCCGGTCAATAATTCTAAATTTTTTAATATTAAACATGTTTTACTTGGAGCAATTTACTTTCTGAAAAAATTTCTTAAAAAATATAAATAGAAAGAATGGGCGATAGTTTTTAGAGTAAATAACACGAGTATGTATGGATGGAATGCAGATAGTTTCCCAAAGTTTGCATCATATAACATAGGAAAGATAAGGACTTATATGGACCACACATACAAACATTATCCAAAACAACATTATTGATAAAAACCCAACCCAAACAAAACATCAACGTAAACTTTCCAAAATTTTGTCCACTTTAACTTTTTTTAAAATGTGTTCCAAGAACTAAAAATCAATAAATTGGAGGACAGAAGAACTCCACAACCCAGAATTCGAAGGCAAATTTGGTAGGCTTATTTGAAGGAGAAGAAGATGTCCGGCGGTATTCCGGTGAATGCAGGCAACGGAACGCCATGGTCCACCGGCCTCTGTGACTGCTTCGACGACATTGGCTCATGTAAATTCATTCTCCTTCTCCATCTCTATTAATTACCATCATTCTTAACTCTCTCCTCTTTTATGCAATATTTTTTCATTATTAAATATAATAATTGAAAATTTTATATCTCAACCAATTGAATTATATTTATGAATTTAATTTACAGGTTGCTGTACGATTTGGTGTCCATGCGTGCCTTTCGGGAGAGCCGCCGAGATTATTGATGAAGGATCAAGTTGTAAGCTTCGTTACATCCATTTGCTAAACTACGTCTAATATTTAGCCAAACAGATTTTATCAAACTATAAATATGAAAATCAAAATGGGTCTAATATAAAACTCTCATAACTAGTTCGATTTTCATTTCTACCGAACAGATCCGTTCTGTTCGTTTCTCGATTGGGTCCAAAACTAGGGAAACCGAACTGACTATAACCTAGAAGTGGGTCTAATATTAAGTGTTTATATGTTTATGGGTGTGTATGCAGCCTGTTTGGGTCAGGCATCGATTTTCACTGTGATTTCTTGCTTTACGCCCTGCATATGCCTTTATACATGCCATTATCGTTCTCTACTGAGGGCAAAGTATCAGCTTCAACAAACTCCCTGCAACGATTGCTGTGTTCATTTTTGGTGTTTGGGTTGTGCAATGTGTCAAGAGTATCGTGAGCTCAAGAATCGTGGTTTCGACATGCATATTGGTAATCTCAATCTCTTCAACTTTCAAAAGTGTTTCAAATTTTAAGTTAAAAAATACTCTTATTGTTACACGTTACTTCCTCATTTCAAAAATATGCATAAACCTTCTAAAGTAATATTAATATTTAACTTAAAAAAATAAATTTTTTTAGATAACTTTTAACCTTTGTTTTCTATAAATGTTAAGATGTTAATAATATTTTTAAAATTTTATGGGTATTTTTTAAACATGATATTAAAAGCGATAATATTAAACATTGTGCTCAGGTTGGCAAGGGAACGTGCAGAAACAAAACAAGGGATTAGAGATCCCACCCGTGGTCGAAGGACAAATGAAACGTTGAAGCTTGAAAGACAAAAAAAAAAAAAAAAAAAAAAAAAAAAA